ATTGAATACGGGTCTCGAATAGACAACAAAACATCGATATTAAGACTTTCCAAGGACATAGCCAGCCCTATCTGTTGTCGGACCTGCATAAGTGTGCGGACGTTGAAGGCAGCCATTATGAATGGTGCACGTGGTTTCAGAAAAACTGCTTCAGTACTCATATTCGGTGGTAACATACAATTTTCAACCGGACAGTGACTCGAGAACTTTCAGATAGAACCGAATTTCCACCATAGGCGAGCTCGTATATAAGTTGGAAAATAAGGATAGACAGTGGGAATAAAGGAGAGTGAATAAATGACGTAGTAAATAATAATAATAACAATAATAATAACTAATGTTCTCAATATTATCACTAGGTTACTGGATAAATCTTAATGTCATCATTCGCCTGCCCACTCTCAATAATTCAGATTTGTAACTTCTTAAATTAGATTGGAGGAGTATTTTCTCCGAAGCTTCATTTCTCCTTATTTTTACATGAATTCGCACATAACAATTTCAACAGAGCAGGGCTTTTTAGTTTATATTTGTGCATATGCTTACTATATCATACCAACATCCTTTTCTAGCACTGATTACTAAGCTCCCCTACTGATCTGTGTTCGCAGTATAACATATCTCATCTCTGAACAGTGACAAAACTGGCCCTGATATTTATTTACAATTGTGATTCAAACGCTATTCTGCTTTTAAATTCGATATTTGCTTATTGAGAGTGATTTCGTTTAACTCAACAAGGGTTCTTATTATTTTATTACTTAAGTAATAGTCTCTGTTGTTTTTGTAATTGACATATTCACGGTTTAGTTACATCTGGTTTCTGAATTTTAAGCTGTTGGTACAGCTCATTTCTTAAAAATGCTTGGGTATATTGTATACTACTCAAACTTATATTATACAAAATAAGTAACACATTTGGTACAGAACTATTTTGTTCTGATTATATAAGTCATTGTACGTCATTAACTTGACAACCAGGTCGTATGGACTGCTATAAGTGGACTCGAGCATTTTTGGACATCACAATCAGTTCTGTTTGATGTCAGGACTGTGCAAAGCTTTTCAAGGTTACCATTCGAAACCTTTTTTTGCATACTAAATTACATACATCTGTGACTACTCGTGGAGGAGCATAGGCCACCCACCAGAATTCTTCATCCAACTCTATCCTGTGCAATCCTTTCAAGTTCTTTCCACCTGCTATTGATCCCTTTCATGTCTGTTTCCAAGTCCTGATGCAGTGTATTCTTTGGTCTTCTTTTCTGTTTCCGTTCAGGATTTCAAGTTAGTCCTTGCCTCATGATGCACTTTGATGATTTTCACAATTTATGTCATATCCAAAGTCTTTTCCTGATTTCTTTTTCAGCTGGAGGCTGGTTTGTTCTCTCTCATGATAGACTGTTGCTGATGGTGAAAGGAAACGAAAAATAATACAAAAAGAATTCGAAAATAAAGGGATGAGGTGTTTCTGAATGATGATTGATGTATCAAAGTGCATACAATCTACGCTGACTAGTTACAGTAAATGAGGATTTCAGCGTACACACACGTCATCGAGTACAGATGCTAGACCGAAGATTTTCAGGTGCGGTTATATCCAGAAAAACTAACGGGGACAGCTTTAAAGTTTATTTATTTATGAGGTTTACCGACCACTATATATGCAATTTATTTTGTTCATCTACCATCCATCACAACTAATGCTTCCTGTTAAAAATATCCCTACAATATGGTTAGTATCCACCAGTCTACCTAGTGAAAACGAAGAAAATCATTGACGAAACTATAAATAATGGACAAACCAATGAGATTTGAGATAGAAAGTCTTGGATTCCGGCTCGAAATTAATGCATTCATATGGCTAAATAGCGTTTCACCATGATACTTGACGTAAGTTTGCGATGAAAACCCTAAATTTAATTCATGGTCACAATTCGCCACACTGATTCATAACCTCCCTTTGACCTTAGAAATCAAGTGAATCTTCTCAAGGTCAACTCAGTCTCGCTTAAAAGTCGTCCATAAATTATAGTCTCACCTCTAAATTTGTTTCTTGTCAACTAATCTTCAACTAGAGATAAGACTAAAATTTACGCACGACTCTTGACGCCGCTATAATGACCTTGAATTGTTCACCTACTTACCAGTGTTAAACGAGGGATATACATCAGGAATCAGCATTAGGATTCCCTGTTGAATGTTAGAGTTAGGAATTAGATTTATTACTTTCATTAAGAAATGGCATAAGCTAAAATGCCAAAATGCTATTTGGCCAAATGAGCGAATGAATTTCGCGCCCAAATACAATACCTGCAATCTTAAACGTGATTGGCTCGACCATAAATTATACTCTCGCCGTTTACTCAACGACGGTCAGTGGGTTCATATGAATTTCTAACATATTCTAAAGACTTTAATTGTATGATTTACATATATACTGAAGTGTAGTGGAGTCCAACAGATCTTGGAATCTAAAGCTTAAAGAAGAACTCAGTATCTTATCAAAACAATAAATTAAAGAGACTTGAATAAAAAAGGAGAGATATTGAATTTACGGACTATCAAACATGTTTTGGGTTTCTTATTATGGCTTGGACATTGACAGTTAATTATTTCTACTAATATTCTCCTGTAGAGTCGGTTGTTATGTTAAGCCCACATAACTTATTCTACCTTCTGGACGGGCCAATTTACCCATTCATTTTGAGTCACGTTCTAACCTTAGTAATTATTCCATTATCAACCGCGACTGTTTTCAGATGATCGCATGTGTGTGTACATCTTAACCTACTCACCACACGTCCGTAACTTATCTTTGTGTGACTATAGATATTGACTAACGCTTGATTAAATGGAGTTGGCTCACATACATCCACTGTACATTCTTTTGCTCGCTTCGCTGCGATTCTTTGTTCCGATAAACAAGTGTACAGAATATACTTATTGAAACATCCATTCTCGTATATGACTTATTTAATTGTTGTTCACTAACGCGAGTTAAGTCGATAATTTTATTGAAAGATAGCCAGGATGTATGTTTCGACAGCAATCATTCATATGATCTAATTGTTGTGAGGTTTAGGGCCACTAAACTCCTATACTAGCTACTTGTTGAGATCACTTTTATAACCTTAAGTTGTCTATCTGGGTGTCCTACTACAAGCGAAAACAAATTTTTATACTTCAGAATATGACGTCAAGACCTGATAAAAAATGTTGAGGTTACCAATCAATAAAAAATTCATTCTTCACAGTACTTTTATCTTTGTAAAACTCGCGTTAAAAACATCTATGTATCTTGCTTACTTACTCGCAACTAATGACTACTGAATAACTGAACCTAAAAGACACTGGGAGTTTTAACAGCTGATTGCTTCGAACAAAAAGCCATTTACCTGCCCTACGCAAACTGGATACCAAAAACTGATTTGAGCTTCTAAAATACGCCACGGATTTCAGTCAAAAATACCCATATTCAAAATGATTTCACATACAACGATTAGCGGACAAATATCACATATAAGAGAAATATAAAAAGTGAACGACGTCCGTGAGAAATAAACAAAAAGAATACCATACTGAATAAATCTTACACTGAAATAATAACATGACACGCCGAAAACTTAAACATTAAAACAAAAGGATATGTTAAACTGCGCACTGACTACATTAGATTAGAAATAATAATGGAGAGCAAGCCACACGAAGTCAAGACATATTTTAATACATACTTCCTCTTGGAAAGTCGATTTCTTTCATTCCAATTCCCTGTTCTAAAAAACATTTTAAGAATCTTAGGTAGTGGCCAACTTATTAGAAATAAATGAATGAGTCACTGGTTTGACATAACTTTTTTAATCTCATAAATAAAAGTGTTGGTCATTGAAAACCTTTTCAAATGTTACTCATATTTCTTTTTTTCAGCATGGAGCTATGAGTTCGTCTCACTATCTAATGCCTCATATCAAATATTTATCAACAAGATCCCAGTTGTACCAGATGTTTAATTTGTGGAACATCAGCTAAGACCTAATCAATCATAGAACGACATTTCGAGTGCGACAGTCCGACTGAAAATTATAAACTATAGGACTGTAAATTAACAAGCAATGGCAACATTACTCCTGACACACCACTCCAACCCATCACGATATTGTTGTAAAATTCTACATGAACAATGAATGTAACTTTTTTTCAATGCAATTAAATTTGTCAGCAGCACTGACATTGCAGCAACACAGATAGTAGGAAGTTTAGTGAGACACTATTTCTTCAAAAATACGGTAACTAATACTAAATTCAACCACACCTCGCAAAAATAATTGGGAATTCATATCTAGTATATTCAACCACATCTCAGAGTTCTAGGTTAGTAACCATCCCAATTGTACTGTTAACCACTTAACAAAACATTATTAACGAAACTATATTGATTTGCATGTAGTTCTAAATTCAAACAATTAGGTGATAAATTACAACTGATTTGTGTAATCATTACTCCATCAAATACCGGACATTTCAGCAATTAATCATTTTAGCACTGATTAAGTTGGTTTGTTGATTTTAGTGTCATCTCCAATCTAGGCAAAACCTAAGGGAGTTAGATTAGAACGTCGTTCACCTTAGTTTTTATTTATGTTGATATACAAATCCGCTCAGCTGTTGCCAACGGCATCAAATACTGAAGTGGATTTAGATGCTACAGGGAAACTTTTGAACTCTGTATATCTGATCTTTCTTGACTCCGTAGGACTAATGAGCATGTTTTAGGGCGACAACAAATAATTCGTGTGTTGTACGGCTGGTCACTGGTTCCGATTCCATTGCAACGATTTCCAAACGTCAAATGTTTGTATAATATTAATGACCTAATGTTTATGAGCATTTTCATTATTTCTTCAAACTATTCATGCACATTTTAGCAGTCCTGAAATACTTACTGAGTTAATGCACAAATATATAGTGCTTCCACAAGCCTGGTATTCAAAAGATCATGCTTCATAAATAAGAATGCATTAAACGCTGGGAACAATCAGTATCATGATGACTTCTGAATAAACCAACTAATTCTAAATATACATCAGAACAGTAATTACTCAGCAGGCATCAATAAACCTTTAAATTTTTTACCGGTATATTTGGTATCGCACAGACACTATCATTTTCTTCATATGTTTGGAAGCAAAAAAAGTAGTCTGCACTGAGGGATTTTCGGGGGAAACACCACCACAAATGTAGTAGCCAACAATGCTAGGAAACAAAAATCACTTGTGACTAGAAAGAAAAAAAGACACATCGAACAATACTTGACACTGAAAGTAAACTGATACAAAATTTAACACTTTTATACATCCACATTCATCAAAGCAATAATAATATTTATTTTTCACAATCATGTAAGGCTTTTTACCATCACAGAAGAAAAATTAGAAATCTTACGTGTTTGACGATTATTGACAAAGTAAAATATGAATAACTAAACGTTTTAGAACAGAAAACATTTCTGCGTAGTTTGCTTGGCATAAAAAATAAGGAGACAGAAGGACAGAACAAAAATTAATATTGCGATTCGTTGTATCATTTAACAAATTATGATCTACTACTGTCAGTATCGAATTGATGGACAAAAATACTAACGTCATACTGATAAGGTTAGGAAAAATATTTAACTCATTTAACACTTTAATTGACCAGGAGTAGTATAAACAAGTACAAAAATCATCTCTAAAAAATGTGTGGATGAACATTCAGAAAAACGAAGGATGTAGTCACGACTCCAGTTTCTAATACCCGCAAATATACATTGGCCGTTTAATGGAAATAGTTTGCTTTGTTTAAAGAATTAGTGATAACCAGTTTAAATTTGTTCACTAATAGAATCGCTTCATTTGCCTTTGACGCTTCTTATAATATTTATAGCCCATATATCCACCACCACTAATAAATCCAAATACGAATAACCAAGAAAATAATGTAAGTACGCGGCTGAATCTCGATGTTGGAGTATCATCGACTCGAGCTATAAAAAAGAAAATTTACATGAATATCTACAAAAAGCGATTACTGAATAACACTTATTACCGGGAAGTGTTGCTTCGAATGCAGAATCCTTAAATTAATCTTATCATCATTCGACTAATGGTAGTATGTATATTCACTATACTCTGGTGTTTTTGAGTATAAAATTACAGTTTAGCTACAAAGTGCTCAATTAAGCCAGCCACATTATAAAGACTGTGACTGGGAATGTTAATCAGGATTAACCCCTAATCTAAAAATAGTTACTGATTTTAGACTTCAGAGGATCATCAGTGACCAGTCATAATCAGCTAAATTTGTACGTGGACCAACCGTAAAAATGAATGTGTATGCAACTCTGGTAGTTGTTGTTATGTACATAAATGCTAACCAATATGACTGAAATCCAAAACTTAAAGTGGAGGAAGACTGTAATCACACATTTTAACTAAATAATCCAATGAGAAGACGAAAGTCATCAGAATTATGTGATATATTTACATAATACATCATTTATCAACCCATAGTACTTCAAATCATAAAGATTTAAATGCTTTTGATTCTTTATCTACCAAGCACAACAGTTCAGTACTTCATTATCTCTCTAAAGTTTAATTTCGATAAAAAAAACGATGAAGGATTATAAACAAGTCATTTGTACACAGATATAATCCAATTATGTATGAGAATTCAGTTAATTAGAAAATATTTCTTATTATAATTGACATCAACTAGAAGACCACTGATGAAATTAGAGATGAAGAGGTAGTTATTCAGATTTAGTTTTAAATACATTACTATAGGGCGTAAGCATTAAAGAGAGGCACTTGAAGTGACTGAGAAATTCTCACTTTTGTCAGCTGGTCAGGAAGCAACAGATAAGGCCGAATGATTTATAATGCAATATGTCCTCAATTCAACGAAGAAAGGATAAGGTCGGATCCTAAATCCGGATTTGGGATTAAAATATAAACAGATTAACTATAAGAACTAATCTTTACCTTAAGTATTTGCTGATATTTCCGTTTCTAAAAGCTTGCACGTTTGATAGACAACATTTTGGTTTGATATATCCACTATCATTGGCGCGCCCTTTGGTTTAATGTTTATCTTAGTGAAACCTTGAAATAACTAACAAACCTGAAGGCCGTGTGCTGGATCTCATAAGAACAAGGGAGGGTAGTAACTAATGCGTCTCAAAATGAGGATAAAATAAATATCACTGCTCTGAAAGTGCAACACTTTTCAAATTATTATCAATTTATAATAAAAGCAACATTATTTACACAATTCACTTCAAATCAACTAATTTAAAAACACAAATACTAGCAAAAAATTACATTAACTTTTGCATACATTATTCAATAGGTGAATGCCGTATTGTGTATAAAAACATGTTCATTAAGATATTGTCAGTTAAAGACTATTTACTAAAATAAAGTCAGTTAGTCAGTGACAACGTAGAACTTCGTACGTACGTACATCAGTTCGAGTTGCCATACCATATCAACACACAGATACAATTGTCGATTCAGATCCCCTAATGGTAGAGGTAATATGAGTACAAGCATTAGTCAGAGAGATTAGAGTTTGAAGATGTTATTCAAGGAGTATAATCCCGTGAAATAAACTTGGAGAAATAAAAAAAGGACATGAAGAATTCAGAAGATTAGAATTTGGGTGAACGCAACGAGTGGATGCACCTGTGCCATTGCAAACGATTTTGAGCCATGTCATTCAAGGTCTCTAACCATCGGTTGCTATCGTCTCGCGGATCTCAACCACGAGGTCTACACCTATCAACATGCTCGGTCCACTTGTCAGTGACTTCATGGATTTGTGCCACGTTTTGGTCTGGCCGCCCCTAGCTTTTTCCCAACCTACTCCTACACCATGAAGCATCGTTCGTCGGGCCAGTTGGTGGTTGGGCATATGTAACACATGTCCCAACCATCTCAACTGATGAAGTTCCACTACTTCATCAATCGATTTGGCATCCTTACCTATTACCTGTTTCCTAACAACTGCCTTACTCGGTGGTCCCGAGATATACGAGCAATGCTTCGAAGACACTAGTGGTGTAAGAAAAAATGTTTGGCGAAAACTTCACTAAACAGGAAAATTAAAACCATAGAATTGTGTTAGATATTTCAAAGTTGTGCATTAATTTGGAGTCAATCAGATACCCTTGACTTCATTGGTTTGAACTAACATAAAAATGTTTCGTATGTACTGGTGACGAAACTTAATATTAATAATGTAGTCAGAGAAACTAAACGATGCAGCATAAAGCTGTGTCTGGTCAATCTCAAGGACAACATTTGCTTAGTATTCTTTACATAGTACATGATCAATATAAATTACAATAAAGTATCCCACCGTGTATGCATTTTAAAAATCATTCTACATAAATCTGAGCAATTTCAGGTTGTGATTGGAAATCTCTGCAATTTGCACATTACATCGATTGCTGGGGATAAATAATCACTACAAAAGATTTTCTGCATGCTATTTACTACACTGTCAGAATTCCGAAAAGTCTAGAAGTATTAACTTTTAAATTTATGTTGTTGTGAGATGAGATATCATAACAGACAGAGACAAGAGAAAACAGATAGTAGCTTCTTGAAAACCAACTAAGCAAACCAAGAAATTTTCAAGTTTTCATTTTTTTTCAAACTATGTAGGTTAAAGAATATATTTAAATCCACTTTTAGAAGTAGGCCATTTGATACTTGAGTTTAATTCTCACGTTGTTTTGCGTTTCGGTGTTCTTAAGGTGAAAAGTATTACTGGATAGTAAAGATTTAGATCAAAATATCAACCCATTACTTGCTATTGTAATCGTCTGAAGTAAATTCTTATAAGATTAGAGTATTTTATTGGAGCTGAGATCAAATACCTATTCCGAGTTCCGAATACAGAAGGAAAATAATAACGAAAGTTAATAACTGATGAAAATTCGGTTTCTGCGTTTATAGCCCTACAATAATAATATAAAAAAGCGTTGGCAACGAAAATGATATTCAGAAATTGATATTGACACACCTCTTGGTGCAGCCTCCTGATCAGCTGATGGTTCAATTTTAGAAAAGTCAGCGAACGGATCGTCCTGTAAAAGAAACAAATATCAAGGTTAGTAGTAAGGGCAAGTACATGTTCACAGTAAACAACTGAAAAGTTATTTAATAACAGCTCAATTACAGCGGTTTACTCAAATAAGATCTTGCTACTCCAAATACTTTACAATCAAACATCAACAAATAAATAATTGATACCAGATAGGTTTTGTGGATATTATAGTAATTTCAATGGTCAAGATCATGGGTCAGTTGAAGCTAGACCGCCATGAAAAACCTGCCGGCTTAATGGTCGAGTGCTTGCATGCGAAATCAGTAGGTCATGGGTTCGAATCTCGCAGAAGGCGGGGTCGTCGGTGCGCACTGCTGAGGAATTCCACAATAGAACAAAACGTTTGTTCAGTGCTTCCAGGTTTTCCATGGGGGCCTAGCTTCAACTGACTCATGATCTCAACCATTGAAATAAATAATTACTGAGAAAATTAGAAGTTATTTTGCCATGGAAGGTAATTTCCAATGAAAGCACTACCGAAATTTCTACTGGTTCTAAGAATAAGAACATCCTATAATAAAAATGATCAATACCAAAAGCGCTGAATGCTCCCGTTAGACACACCTGTTAAGTGTGAGCAAGCTTTATCACTTAGCTGCAAATACTGTGATTCTACATATTTATGACGACATTTCTGAGACCATTAACACAACAACTAGAAATTACCTACTCTACAGACAAAGCAAAAAAGTGAGGAACCTTGGCAGATTACAACACTAAAACTACAACACATGCCTATTTATTTGATTTGAAGAAATATATTTCGGCAGAAAAATTCCATACTATGGTATCCTAAATGAGACCAATCAATGACGAATACAACTTACAAATAAAACCAATTCCCATAAAATCACTTTATCTAATCTATTTCTATGAACTAAAAATCCCCATGATGTAAATTAAAACGACAAATCTGAGCGAAAAAATGATTTGTACAGGATTTACTCTGTATACAGTGATGTATTTTCACATGAAAACGATTAAACCAGTTAAGGCAATTTATAGGTCAATTATATTAATGGAACAGATTACGTGGCCAATAATAATCAGTAAAATGTACAAATTTGTAGTAAAATGACATGTGTACTAATCTTGACGAGAATAATAACAACGTAAATGAATGATTCAAATAAGAAGTAGGTCAGAACAAATAAAAATCAATGGAAAGTTTGATGCGCAATATCACATATTGATTGGAGTTAGATAAATAAACCATTGGATGCTGGCTCAATGGTTCAAATTTTGAAAACTCGCTGCCAGAATTAAATTTTTTAGGTTTCATCCTTATGCGATCGTAGATGCACTACCATGAGAAGTTCATACTAAGTCAGAATAGCTGTCCAGTAGTCTCTGGTTCTCAGTGATTGCCTAACCAAGGCTAGTTCCGGATATGTTGCCTCACCACATGAGCACTACAAGACTAAATTGACAAGACAAATCGCAGAGTAGTAGTAGTCAGATTACCAATTTCAATAGAAAAGGCCATCCATAGATGACATGATCCCCAAAAATAGACGAATCAGTGAACTTAAAAAAGTATAAAACAATTTCTAAACTCAGGATCCAAGGGAATTCAAAGAGTAAATGCATCTGCGACAATGTGACCGGTTTTTAGCCATATAACCCATTGTCCCCGACCATTGATTACGATAACCACATGAACCCCAGTCAGGTAAACTGAACCTACCAACACGGTTCGACTGAAATCTCAGTGACTTCATGGACTGATACATACGTTTTGTCTCGGCCGCCGCTCGCTATTTCCAAACCTAATCCCACATCAGCCAACATCGCACATCGAGGTACATGGTAGTTGAGAATATTTAACACGTGTACTAAATATTTCAACTGATGGAGATTCGCTACCTCATTAAGCGATTCGTCAATATTACAGTATGCCTTGAGTCAAACCTCAGCGCTACCCACTCAGTGGTCTCAAAATATGCGTAGAATGATTCGAAAATGTCTAATCGGGTACCAGTAATCTTTAAATGTCCTCTATTTTCAACAGTTAGATTTCACAACCATAAAATAGAACACGGCGAACCACTACAACGTGATTTCGTCCCTTTTTGTGAAACGGACATCTCGCCTACACCACAAGTAATCCAGGTTGGCAAAAGTCAGACGAGCTCTTCGAATCGTGAAGAAATTTTATCAGACACGAACCCAATAAGACCGATGAGACCTTTAAGATAAACGAAGAGGATAACTCTCAACTGCTTCACCTCTTATCACCGGTAATGGAGTCGACTCAGACTAGTCCTAAAGCAACATTTAACACATAATAGTCATTGAAAATTATCAATAAATAAAAAAACAACCAGAACAATTATATATATATATATTTATTATTATTTATTTATTTTAACACATAGATATTGGTACAAGAAATCACCAAATACATATGCGCCACACAAATCTTATTCGATATGTGCGAGGGCTGTGATACTGCCCAAACTATAACTATAATCTTAGTTATATATATATATATATATAGTGAAGTAGAGATAGGTAAAGGATGAATAACAAAAACCAAACAAACGGTATAAAAAGATTGGTAACATCGTCTACTAAGTTTTATGGACCTAAGAAAGAGGCAAGTGTTACGAATCTCTCCTGAACGCAGACTAGAGCTATGAGCTCGGAATCCTATGACTTTTCATGTGTAAGTGACAAGATCAAACTCTGTTGTGAAACTTCGAAAATACAGAATATACCACTTGGAATTATTTATTTTTATCTACCATATGGCTACTATTAACCAACTATGATGAAATAGAGCTACAAAATTTCCGTTCCACCCCTTATCAACCACACGAAAAAACGTCCATTCATTCCTTGATTGAGTTGCGTGTTGTCAAGTGTTCTTCACAGGAGCAGCTGATATATTCGTATCGTGGACTTGTGAGAACGAGTGTGACAATAATTATAATATCAACTTTGACCTACTTTTTATATTGAATCATCTATTTACGACATTATTATTCTTACCACGATAAGCACACGTCATCTTACTACAGATTTTTAACACACGTTCTCTTAGATACGGAGAACTAATAAGCAGAAAGACAGAGTAAATTTCCAGTTTATTGACCATTATTCCATTTGATAAAAGGAAGTATATAAAATGAAAACAAAATTCAACTACTGTATTTTGTACCATATACAAGATGTTAATTATTACGAAAAGTGTAATTCATAAATTTACGTGAAACAATATAAGATCATACAAGACTGCACAAATTGAGACATAATAACACAAAACCTGCTGTTAAGCACAGTACGATATGATGCATTACTTATTAAAAAGAACCACTCACACAAAATAAATTTTGTCAAGTACAAAAACAATAAAGAGTGTGCGATGGAGAAAGATAATTTGAAGACAGAATTTCTCATGCGTAGGCTAATATTATTTTAAAGAAATATAGTTTTGCAATTGAAATTTACGGAAAGGTGTTTGTGTTTATTTTAGTCTCGGAATGAGTTTTTGATACTTTCTACTCACAAATTATAATTTTAAGGCAATTAAGTGATCATCTTACTTCACTGTATAATACACATTGATTTTAACTTGAAAAAGGCAATAATTATATCTGTGTTTTTGTATATTCCATTTGAAGAATTTACTTTATATCATTATTTGTAATCATTACTTGAAAAATGATGCAATAAACGTTATGTGATTGAGTACCAATCAGATTTAAATTAGTCACATTAGAAATAGAAAATTTTATCAGAAACATTTCAAAACCAGTCAGAGATAACCAATGTATTCAAGGGCATACGTACTTTAGCCTAGGTCCCTATTTGTCATCACTACATAGGAGAAATTAACAAAGTGAGTGGCGAAAGAGTCCTGATAACAGTAGCATCAATGAGAAAGACTAAATTCTGATGGATATGGTTCAAAAGAAAACAAGTAGCAAAGTATATACAAAGGAACACTGAAACTCTAGGTCAAACGGAAAATGAAGAGTGAAGAAACTTATGGCACTGAGACCGATTGTGAGTCATGTTATCCAAAATCTTCATCCAGTGGTCGGATTCAATAAACAAACACAAAGCAGATAGTATTCGGCAACATTTAACATAGCTTAGTTCAACAATCAATGGGTTTATGGACTGGCGCGACGTCTTGATTTAGCCACTTAGTTTTTTTGCAACCCACTCCTACGCTGTCCAGCATTATGCATCGAGGTAGGCGATTGTTGGACATACGTCACATGTTCTAGCCATCTAATTCGATGAAGATTCACACCCTAATCAACTGGTTTGCCATGCTTTCCTAGTACTCAACATTTAACCCAGTCATTCCTCATTCCGTTGTTTCCCTATACATGATGAGTGTTTCATGTAGGAACTATATGAAATCAAATGGGGAATGTTTCCTATACGAAAACAAGAGCGTCGTGAGGCAAGAAAAAACGTTAAGTGCATTGATTCAAAGTGTTTTCATTATCGAACCTGTAAAAATATTCGATAAGAAATTTTGATTTCAAGCTGGTTGTAACTCATCCGTTATACGTGACCTTCACGATTTCATGAATATATGGATTGAGTACGATTTTATAACAAAGAAATTTCAAAAAATGGAATTTTAGGATTTCACTTGTTGAACCGAAACAAATGTACATGAGGTACTCATCCGCTTGGTTAATGACAATTAAGCAGTTGAGTGGATAGTATAGTATTTAGATTTTACCAGAGAATTCATCCGAAAACCTGGATATCAAAAAAACTATTATTGAAAATGAACAGAAAATCATATAAGATATGTGGTACTTTGTTTCACTAATATATATATATATATATAGGATATGGACTAAATATTCGTACACAGTAAACTCACTTTTCGACCAACATCCAGTTCATAAGTATGAATAGAGTATATGTCGTGATTATCTGGGTAGGCAAAAATAGGACGAACGCAGACTATTAGATACACAGTAATCATGGTTATCAGAAATGCAGATCGTTACAGATAAACAACGCCATACTTACGTGACACTGTCAATGTAACGAAAAGCAAAAGTCATAAAAGATGAATACACAAAACACGGCGGAATGAATATAATGTTAACTTTGAAAAGAAAACTGACTCCATCAACTAGTCGGACTTGTTCTGTGTAACTTAGTAATTTGTAACTCTACTATAGATAATTACACAGACTAACAGTAACAGTAAATAAATTTCACTAAATCCACTTATGTAGGAGAAGGTTAACTTGATAGCAAACTAATGTTCCAAAATCAAAACTACCAAATGAGTTGAAAATGATTACAGAAATTAATTTATTTAGAAGCATATGTGAACACATTTTGATATAGTGTAGCAAAGATCTAAATAAAGTCAAGAGAATGAACCATGTGTACACACCATATGTAAAGTATCATGGAACAATGATAGTAGTAAAAGACTAGAAATAAGTAGTTCTGTAATAAACAAACGCAAATGAGAATAAAATAAGTAAATGTCAGTTAATTAAGCATTAAATTATTGAGCTAAGAGAGAAATAAACATTTCCTTACGTTATTACCTCATTACGCAAGTTCTTTTTCTAACCCTCTAACATAACTCGATAACCTTATATTTAAATAACCGAGCTTTATTGATTTTATTTTTGTACATAATCACATATAAGGCAGTCTGCTTGAATATCTGGGCTACCTGTCCCTGCCATCTGGATATTTCAACAATTTATATATTTTCTTGTTTGTTTTAACACATCATTATGCTTATTAGTCTCATAACCTATTCAGGTGCGCTTGTGAAAAGTTTACGACATTTCACTGTACAAGTCACAAAAGAGACATCGTGGTTGCTAGCAATATGCAGTGAAAAGAATATACAGTATTCAGATGTAGATTCCTGTACTACTAACACCTAACTGGCGACCACTCAATACTTATCGCAAGGATCGGCCAAGAAATAAGGAAAGAAAACTAGTTGAAACACGTTGTACTGAGAATTGTATATTGTACCAAAAATATAATATTGAATAAAACTAATAATAATAATAATAATAGTAATGTGTACAAAACCAACCAATGATGATTAAAGTACATGGTTTCCAAATGTCGTAGTTTGTCCAGGTGTATATCAGCAATAACACTCATACAAAAATTGTTTCAAAGACAAGCACAAAAACTTGTACTCATTAAACGAGTAGTATTATTACTACTTAACCTGGGATAACATATGTTAACTGAACTGAACAATAGCACTGAAAACATAACCTCAATGAAAGGAGGACCATTAAGAACTTAATTTTATGACACCTTATCCCACATCCCATGTTCACCTCAATCTTATAAAACATGAAAACCTTTATAACGATTAAGCATGGATAGAAAAAATCTGGTATATGCGACCGAATTATAACCAAATAGGCTGTTTCGTATTAATTGTATTAATATTTGTTTTCAAATTGAAGATAATGATGTGGTGGTTCCTTAGTCTAATCATGAATCAAATCACTTTTTACTTTATATTTTCACTTATTTCTATGCATATTTGTTTGTTAAACTTTCTTTTTAACTAGATTACTATATACATAACATTGAAATATTTGTTTTCGCATTTTATCCTGAAATCATCATTCTATCATAACTTATTGCACTTAATTAATTGTAGAGTATTCAAAGCTGAATTTTTAAGCACTTCACATAGTTATTTGATAAGACAGTACTAATCATAATATTTGTAAATAATGCTCATATTCTACATATTTGATAGTAATGTCATATCAAATGTGTAAAAAAACTGGTACTGAAGTTATGTGTACTTTAGTCAGACAAGAAAATGGAACTAGTACTGATAAATTATTATTGAAAACAGTTCACAATGTGAATCAAAGAGATTACAATTTGTTAAATTAGATGTTTGTTGTCAGTTCATAAATTATTCAGCAAAGTAAACTGAAAACCAACCGATCAAACAGTTCAGCAAAAATGGAGAAGAATGGTTTACAAAAGTTGATTTGTGTAATCAGCTGAGCAACCTTAAAAGAATAGAGTAGGAACCCATTAAGTCCCTCGACTGTCGAAAATTTCTCAGAATTTTTAGATAAATGAAAAACTACTGAGATATAGAAGATTGGTTCAACTCCTGAACCAATTTTTCCTGTATTTACATCTCAGTGAATGTATATAATCTATTTAGAAAGAAATTCACACAAGATTTTTAAAAAGTCAAGGTATATTTTTAGCCCTAGTAATTGAAACAATGTTATATTACCTGAAAGGTCACCAGTAGCGGCTGAGATTCCAATAAAATAGCCAGTAGGTAAACGTACTCCGTCAACTGTGAAACAGTCTACAGGATCTGTAGCACCTTGATATTTCAAAGAAACCTGAAGATTGAGAAATCCCATACGTAGTAAACAAACTTGTCATATACCAAACATCAGAAAAAAACATAGTTCAAAATATACAACAATCTCAAGTTTTTGGCACAAAAAAGTAATACATCAGTCATATTGTCACCACCAACAATCTGCATGTGTCATAAGTGATTAATTATACACTTTATTAAGACGACTAAGTTAAGAAATTACTTTATTTCTTATCTAATATTTTTCCACAAATTTTCTCTAAGTAGAGACGTCAGTTGCATGGACATGCGTTCCAAATAAGTTATAGATTATGTTTGTTTAGAAAGCAGAAGTTATTGTGAATAGTTAGCGTCAAAAATAACCCTTAGTGGATAAACAGTAAGTTCATGAGACGCAAATCCAAGGTTTTTTTAGTTTATGATAAAACCTACGATCAGTAAACGATAAAAATGATATTAAACTATGTTTTATCAGTGAATGTAATATGGTAGGGTTGTGGTACCTAAGCTAAAAATCTACAGCAACTGATCTATTAAGTCCTACGGACGGAGGTTAAATTAAGATGACAGGACATCTAAAGTGCGTGATAGGAAGTGCTCTATAATAAAAGATTGTAAATAAAATCGAAAAGTAACTATTTTTGATTGAAGTTTTCTAAAGAACTGGTTGCTATTGAGTTTAATTGACACAAGTATAGATCATGGGCTAAGTTTGCAACAATGTATTTAGTTATCATGACACATTTTGAGAGTATGTTATCCGAGTCTACAATAAGTGTCAAAACATAGAAATAAGCCAATCCTACTGTACTTACACACTTATGCAGAAAAACATACAGTTAAAATGCTAACCTTCAACTGGTTATTAGCGTAACGAATTGTGGCCATTGAGTAGTCATTATTACGAAAATTAGATGAACAACCAGCTAATTCAGTTAAAGTTCCATCCTTATCATGGTCATAGTGTTTAGATCCATCGTTAATCATTGCACTGACATAAGGATGCTCATGACTATGCTCACCATTTTGATTAGCGTAAGTATCAAAGAAAACGGCCAACCCACGGAACTTATCTCGACTGCCGAATGCTGGCCCTATGAATAAACAAGTTTAATTAGCGAAAGAACTTTAAAATAACATACCACTTGAAGGAGGATGTTGAGTATACCAGAAAGCAAATCCATCACCGACCAGAGTTTTGGGACTATGAACATGGAACAAAATAACCACCTCCCAATCACGAGCGAATAAAGGTTTTATATTGAAAATACCTCCTTGATTACTTTTTACATCGGAAGTTAGGCGTACGAACTGAGGTTCAATAATCGTTGATCCATAAGGTACCCAGTGAGCTATCAAAAAATTATATATATAACGTCTAAGTGATATATAAGTAGCAATAATGATTGAATGTGAGTCACACCATTATTAGCTTTACTGCTTCAAATTCAAAACCGAAGAAAGGAAAACGTGATTTCTATTGAGATGATATGAAAACTACCTAAACCCTCAAGAATAGAAACCGATGAAATCCTACAAAACCATGAATTTATTCTGAATGAGGGATACTAAAACACTCAGACAATCACGGATGTATTCAATTATAGTATTACGGTAATATCGTTCAAAACAGGATACTGACTCAGCTAAAACACAAGACTTTATGGGAGGGTAGTAAAATAACTCATTTACTTCGCTAACGACATCTGAAATTATAGCCTTAGTAATAGGTTGGCAACAAATCTCCAACTCAAAGGCACAAATTAAGACTAACTTGGGGGAGAATCTCACTGAAATCATGAACCGACTCAGTTAGACCACCACTGAAAACTTGGAAACACCGGACGCTTGTGTTCGTCCTAGTATGAGGGAAAATGTTTAAAAGTTAGAAAAATAAGGCTACTAAAATCTATTACATAAACTTTTAAACTAACGCGCGTGATGTTGTCAAAAAATTTGAGAAAACTCAGCTGGCGGAATATTTGTAACGGAAGTCACATTTTACCACTCCAATTGTTATCAACTCTGCTTTCTCATATTTTGGAAGCGAGTACGGATGTTTGGGGAAATGGCTAACGATATGGGTGTGAAAAAGGCCCTTTATCTTCTAAAATCAAATTCCCTGAGATGTAGCCTAGCAGTTTAATTTGGTTCTTAAATACTGAGCCAAAGGTTTTAGACCTTCCTTACTTTTATGTTTTCTGTACTTGTTTCCTTTTTTAAAGTACAGAACTTAAGAAGTGAAATAAGTCACCAAGTTGCATCGGTTTGACACTTTCTACAATTTCATGTCATTTCGATGTCAATAAATACGGTTGAACAGTTTGCTATATTCCAGTGGTTTTTGTATTTAAAAAGCTCTCTAAGCCACTTCAGGCTTTACTACCCTAGTTATACAATGATAGAAACGCACAACAATATAGCACGTACAAAAGGCACTATACATCTGACTACCAATGGAGAAATTAAAGACATGAAACTTTAAGTGAATAAACAGAGAAACAATCATGCACTACTTGAGTGTTTGAAATTTCAATGCGGAAGTGTGAACTAATTTGTACCACAATTATCGGTTTTTAGTTCCATCATCTGAAGTTTATAGCTATTTTTAATATTTATAAAGTTTTGGGAAACCTAATTTTGATAAATCGTTTACATCTGATTGATAAATAGTTACGGATTCTATGTAAATATTTGGTTTATTCAGACGAGATAAACTCAGTAACATCGACAACTAGCCTTGCTGTTGTCTATTTGGCTTTACAAAATTCCATTTTCGCTGTTAGGACAGTGTGTAACGGCAGAGGTGGATCAAAGAAAAAAAATGAAGTGGCCTACATACCTGCATTTTGTTCAATATTTTTAGTTTTCTTATAAAGAACAGTGTAAACCAAATTAATCGGCAAGACTATGACTTATAGACGACTTTTCAACGATAGTAGAGTGGCCCCGATTACACCCTAACCACTGAGTACGGTCAAAATATAATTACAAATCATTGAGGAATGAGGAGTTAGAAATTAGGATTGATAGGTAGGGTCAAGATTTCTACCACGAGCTGACATAACCAATAATCCAAAAATGCTATTTAAACAAATAGGTAAACAAATTTCAAACACGAACCCAGTAGATGCACTTAAATTATAGTAAAATATTAGCAGCTAATGACTGAGTCAATTTGCAACAGTACATAAACACCTCTATCCCTTGTGTTTGTGTACGTAAAAAAATTGTTTTTTTTTATCCTGTTTGCTCTTTTGTAACCGTATTTTTAATGCCTGGTCATTTTGTCAGTTTATTTTTTTAAAACATCAAGGAATGGAACGTACTAATGAACTTAAATACATGATTTAAATGACCGGTTTTTAGTGCATCTTTTGTCACGGCCTCCATTTATGCCCCATTGTTGCTGTATTAAATTGTCGTGAGCGTTTACGACTGAAACGCAAAACGATGGTGGCCAGTAAGCAGCGTGTTTCGACTTAGTAACCAGTAACACTGCAATATTAACTGCGTTTCAGGTCGAAAAGTAAGCTTAGGCAACGTAAAAGTTGATTCCTGGAAATATATTATTTATAAAACCGCGTCGATATGGTTACGGGGTAGGATTATATTTGAGGTAATGAAAAGAGACTAAGTCGAACAACACTGGAACTGTATCAGAACAATAAAAATAAGCAAAAGAAACCAATCGGTCTATACAATCTTATGAAAAAGACACGTATTCAGTACTGCATATTGAAATTCTTAATAACCCATATAGGGACGAGACAAAACTTTGAATAAATAAAAAACTCACGGCTTGAATATGGAGGAACGAGTGAGTTATCTCTGATGTGGTAAGACGAATGTACTACATTGGAAAACGACAGGCAAAGAAGAATCACTAGCATTGCACGGACGTGCCGGAAAATTACAATTTCGCGCTGTGTGATATTATTGATTGCAACAAACGAATCCAACTTTTTATTACATACAAATAAAAGGCTATGACCCTTTATTTGCAGAAAAAATCGGAAGGTACACGTTAATTTAGTATGGTTGATTTTATGTACACCATTTTCTTGAGAACTGGTCAATCTACAAAGAAATGTATTTGTTAGTATGCTTTAGGAATCAAATAGTAGGTGAAAGTTTTTGGCTTCATGAGTATCCCCCTTTGCATTTAGTTTGAAGCCCGAAATTGTGTCTTCCGAGCCACTTAAAACTGCCTGGAATCAGATGAAAGAATTTTTCATGTTCACATCAGTTTCACAGAATCCTATGCTTCCCTCAGATCTGTGGTAGGTTAATTCAAAGACATTTAGGTTTTCTTTGCTGTCAACGCTGCAGCAGACCTTACAAATTAAACTCACTCCCCGTTTCAGTAAGATCATGAGGACGTTTAGATGCTGGAGATCAGAAGTTTAAACTGAATGAGCTTGCTACTGGCAAACATTCATCAAATGGCTAGATATATTTAACAGTATCAGATTGCCTGCCTTCATTCTATAGGGTTTTAAGATTTTGAAAGCAACTACTTCGCTCAATTCAGTGACTTCCAATACATTCTTTTCTGACTAGAAAATTCGGGAGAAAAGTTGCGAATACGTGTTTGATAGTCATGTTTCCAGAATACTTGTGGTATGCAAAATGTACGGGAATAAAGTATCGTACGTTAGCAGAAATTAGTATGAAGCAGTTTGACACCACTAATGACGAAAAGTCTCTGGAAGATAAGACCCATATTCAGTTAAGACAAAGGACTCAATAATTCTCCTGAAAGTCATAAACACGTCTAGACGTAGTTCTGTAGTGACCTGTTTTTATCACGAGAACACGATTGGTTTATTGAAAACAATTATTATTATAACCAATTGTACCGGTGAGTGTTTAGTGTACCCTTTGTTTAACTGTGCTAAAAAGCATCCATTATTCTCACACTTTGATTGTGACCTCGCGCGAATTCGGTTACGCTCTGTAACCAAGCTTGTATCCTGGCACGATCTCGGTATTCTTGCGATACCACGAGATCGCCAGCGAATATATCTCGATTTGGTCCATTAACTGCCTTCTGATATTTGGCTTCCCGGGGATTTTATGGATTTATTTGGCACGTGTTTCTCTGTAGCGGTGTTCACAGTCAACTGCGACTCGGCACCACACTACAGTTCATTCAGTATGAGATTTTGTCTCATCATGTGTTTTAAGTCAGGTGTTTAAAGGCTTTTCTGTTCACCATGAAGGACTTGTAAATGACAGTGATTTTTCAACTTTGGATGGGTTCTCTTCTTCATATCATCTGCTTGTATATGGTAGGTGGACACTTGAAATCATGTCGCTCATAAAATTTTAGTTAGAATACAGAAAATCCGCGAACCCATCTGAGATCCAGAGTTTCTTGCAACATTTTATGGAAAGCCAATCGTCACAAATTACCGATTATCAAAATCACATCCGATAATTTCACGGCTAAAGTCTATGCAAGGTCCCACCTTAAAAAGTGATGGTTAACTATAAATGTTAGGAAATGACAGGAACAATTTGTCCCTGGTGAAAGCTTTTGGTTACCCAAGCAACACAAAAAGGGGAAATAAGGGGGTAAAGAATGCGGATTTCCCCCTTTTTCGCCGTTTTATCGATAAATTACCGACTTTTCGCCTAAATTTCCGCTAAATTGTCTACTTTTCGCCTAAATATCAGCCAAATTACTGACTTTTTGCCTAAATATCCGCCGATTTGTCTACTTTTCGACTAAATATCCGCCAAATTACTGACTTTTCGCCCAAATTTCCGCTAAATTGTCTACTTTTCGCCTAAATATCCGCCAAATTACGAACTTTTCGCCCAAATTTTCCCTGAATTGTCTACTTTTCGCCTAAATACACACAGAACTGCCGATTTTCAATCCATTGACATAATCCCAAAGGTCTCCTATTTTCGCCTTCATTTTCAACAACTTACCGAAATAAAACTGCAATGCACTGGAAAACCGATGTATTTTAAAAACATTTTACTTAAGAGGAAAATAGTATTATTGTACAACATTAGAGCAGAAGCTTGAGCATCAATCGTTTTGTATATCCATTGTAATTGCCAAATCAGTGTTATTTGAAAAGATCTACAAAAGATGGAACAGGTGATGTATTATTCATAAGGCATTTGCATCTAATCTAAAGTTAACTGGCACAAACACACATTCTCAACACTTCTATAGTTTCCCAAGTATGTAATAAAGTAAGTTCTTTGACAAAATAATGTTTATTAAAATGTAGGTAGAACATAAAAAAATTGCACGGGTTGCACATTCGTTCGCCTATTGAGAATTGAAGTTGTTGTCCTGTGAATTATTAAGTTTAAAAAACAGAAAAAGTCACAACAATCTATGAATGACATATCTTGGCACAGCCAAATACTATAACCTAAACTTACGGTTATGTCCGTCAATACTGATGACTGTAACTATAGAGCCGTAAGGAAAGATATCACTTATAATTAATACATACCTGCCCTTTTCTCCTTCTTTTACGCTTTATCACTTTGTCTCTGACATCGTGAAAATAACCTTGTGTGGCTATGTCGTACAGCTTCGCAAGGTCTTTTTCGTTGACAGAGGATGACATAAAGCGATTTGTTAACGCACCTGAAGTTTAAATACTAAAAATTAGTTACTTCATATGCAGCCGTAAAACCGGCACCATGGACACGCTTCGATGCCGATGTAGACGGGGATGTCTCTAATTGCGTCGAACTAATTTGTGAACATGTAAATAGTCATGAAACTTACTTAGCAATAGGCGAAACTAATTTGTCAAACAACCTGAATTTGGGATATTGAACATGACTATTGCCAGCCTGCATTTCAGCAACATCCATGTCTACTGAATTGTAAAGATATTCTTGTTTACGCTTCATGGCAGCTCTAGGAAATGTTACTAAGATTATTGTACATACCTCTTGGGCTTCTCAGTGTTACGTGGCAGAGTGTTTTCATCCGTTTAATGAACAACATTGTTGAACTCAGTTACCTTTTAGGGTGCTTCCATTAGCAAACTCACTGAACGAAAGAAAGTCATATTTTTTCATGAAAGCAGCATTCATTTTATTCCACCTTCTGTTATAAGTGGATCTATGACAGCCAAGAGAACGTGACAAGTTCACAGTGGCCCTACGTCTACGAACATTCTCACTGACTTCAATAGAACTCATAGTATTGGCCTTACAAGGTAATCAGTTACAATGAACATGAAAATCTGAGAGGACGTCACTCACTTGCATCACGTAAGTTTTTTGTGATGGCTCCAAAGCATGTCGGAACACTTTAGCTAAACAACGAACGAAGTCAATCTATATGCGTATCAACCGAATGCCTGGTTCCGTATTTTGTACATTGTTTTTATGACAATACTTTTGTTTTTTTATTAAGCAGTGCCTTAATTTGTCGAAGTTTATGAAAACTTCAGTTCTGGATGCGCTTCGTTCAAATAATATACGTTACGTATAATTGTCGACAAATTTCCCCCAAATACACGATGTAAGGGGGAAGAAGCGACATTTCCCCTAAATAACCGACGTAAAGGCGAAAAAGCGACATTTCCTCTTTATTTACGCTTTCGTCCGCTTTATTTCCCCTTTCTTCGCCTTTATTTCTGCTTTTTGTGTTGCCTGGGTAGTCTCGGGGTTTTGAAATATCCGCAGAGGTGTTATCGCACCTGCGAATCTCTTTGATTGCGAGTAGGAAAGTGTACACAAAACTAACAACAGGCACAATCAGGTTATACCCACGTGTCGTAACCATATCACAGTTCGTTCATTCAAGTAAGTCACTGAGCTCCAAAGAATCACAACAACAAAGGGTTTATATTGTCATACCACTCATGAATTAAAGTGCGTAGAATTTATACAACGCACTGAATAACTGAGTGGCTCTGGACTGAAGTTATAAAGTCTAATATGTAATCAAGAAAATCAATGGAACCTGTGGCAGCATTCAGGTTTCTCTGTTCAGCGATAAGATTTTGTGATTATTAGAAGTATTTGAATTTTAGTATGAACTAAGAATCCCAGAAATAACGCAATTGGATTATGAAGTACTAGATAAGCATGAACGAATGTACTGTACTTGGAATTCAAAACCAAGCATTCAACAAGTACAAAGGAATCATTAGTTCATTCAAACACCACAGATTTGTTCTAGGGCGTAGTACTTAGTAACACCAATGTCACTCGTGTGGATCTATAAGGACTGTAAAATTGGTCACTGGTTAAGGAGAATAGAAACTGTGAGATTAATTCGAGCACCAAGTGATATACCAACTCAACAAATTCAAACCAGCTACGAAGAATGATTATGGTAACCACCATAATTTGACTGTCAGTGAGATACTTTAATGTGGCAGAGATGTAAATATGGCAACCACAAACAAAATAATAATAACAATAATCTGGAATTTATGGGAATAAACATGAAACTCGTCTATAAAAGGTGGTGAAGGATGTTACATTGTATGTGGGACGAAACAAATTATTGTCACATTTATGAACGAGGGGGCTTCAACACAAGTACGACATATATTTATGTCAAGACCAAGTGTTAGAGGAATCATGTGGTGTGAGTCAAGAAACGTCAGAAAATCTAATTTTCTACTCATTGGGAATTACAAACATATTATTCATTTACATGCCGTTTGAATTTATTAACTTAATTATATTGAATGCAGTCTCCTCACGATCATCCCAACTGCCTGTTTTATCTTCCAAAGAGGCTAGAATTTCCCGGTTTTCGTCGTAATTCCGTGTTTTGAATGTCTTTGACGAGAAATAAAGTAGTCTTCAAAATATGATCAAACGATGTTATGACCACATAGTTCATCACTGGAAGTGCGTTGGAAATTTCCACAGCGTGTTTCACTCGCATCTTTACGCACAGGATTTTTATTGGTTTGATGGGGGTTTTAAGGCATAACTGAAAAACAGACACGTCAACGGTAGCACAGAACGCTCACCACCACTTTGAATC